TCTTCATAGGCAAGGTCAGCCGCCAGACTACTGCACCTGGCAGCACAGTTTGGACAGTAGGTGAGCAGCTGACAGTGGCAAAAAAACAGGTTAGGGACTATTTAGAAAAGCTGAATGTATACGAGTCCATGGAGCTCAATGCAATGCATCTGAGGATGCTGGAGGAGTTGGCTGATGTGATTGCTATGAGTTTTCAAAGATGATGACCAGCACTCTGCAATCAGGAGAGGTTCCAGATGATTGGAAAAGGGCAAATCTAGTGCCCATCTTTAAGAAATGGAAAGGAGGAGGATCCAGGGACCTACAGACTAGTCAGCCTCACCTCAGTCCCTGGAAAAAAAAAAAAAAAAAATCAGGGAGCAGGTCCTCAGGCAATCCATTTATAAGCACTTGGAAAAGGCAGTAATTAAGAACAGTCAGCATGGATTCACCAAGGGCAAGTTATGCCTGACCAACCTGACTGCCTTCTATGACAGAATGATTGGCTGTGTGGATGTGGGGAGAGCAATGGACATGATATAACATGACTTTAGCAAGGCTTTGGATACAGTCTCCCACAACATTCTTGCAAGCATGCTAATGAGGTACAGGTTGGATGAATGGGGAATAGAAAACTGGCTGGATGGTCAGGTTCAAAGGGTAGTAATCAGTGGCTCCATGTCTAATTGGCAGCCGGTATCAAGTGGAATGCCCCAGGGGATAGTTCCGGGACCGGTTTTGTTCAATATCTTCATCAATGACCTGGAAGATTTTGTAGACATTCAGGCTGGAAGGGACCTCGGAGGATCATCAAGTCCAGCCCCCTGCCCCAGGGGCAGGAAGCCAGCAGGGATCACAGGATCCCAGCAAGATAAACATCCAAATGTAGTAGGATGGACCGCACCTTCAGCAAGTCTGCAGATGACACCAAGAGCGGGGAGTAGTAGAGACACTGGAAGGTATTGTTAAGATTCAGAGAGACCTCAATAAATTGGAGGACTGAACCAAAAGAAATCTCACAAGGTTCAACAAGGACAAGTGCAAAGTCCTGCACTTAGGACAGAACAATCCCATGCACAGGTACAGGCTGGGGACTGACTGGCTGGGCAGCAGCTCTGCAGAAAAGGACCTGGAGGTTACAATGGACAATAAGCTGAATATGATTAAATGAAGAAGGCCCTTGTTGCAAAGAAGGCTAACAGTATACTGGGCTGCATCGGTATGAGCATTGCCAGCAGACTGAGGGAAGTGATCACTCCCCTCTATTTGGTGCTGGTGAAGCCACATCTGTAGTAGGCTGCTGCTTGAGTGCTCTAGGCACTAATGGTTAATTTGGGGATACTGCTGAAGGTGTGTGTGGGGGGGAGGGGGAATTAAGGTGATAAGTGTATGTTACCATAGTGTTGGTATCTCTTTACTGTTACCTCTTCTATCCCTTTGGCCCATTAGCTTGTGACCCTAACCCCTATGATTTTCTATATAGAAGTGGGAACTCCCCTTTGCTTCTTGTGCCAGTTGCTGGGGTTGCAGGGTTGGCACACTATTCACAAACTATTCAAAAACACAGAGATGAAATGATTCTCTAAATACATCAGTAGAGACAGATCCAATATATTCCTACAGTCTCCATTAAACTGTAGTTAACCAAGCACTGACTTCAATCACTTAGGTAGAAATAGCATAGTGGATTCTTCTCCTCACAACTTACAAGTTCTAGCTTGCTTTGCTTGCTTGCTTTCCCATGGGCTATTTAAATATATTATTATACATGGACGAACAGGCAAGAATTTGTACCAAGTAAGGCAATGAGCAACAAAACTCTCTCTCTCTTTCTAGCATATCTCAACAATAGGAAACAATTCATACAGCAGCTCACACTGCAGACAAATCACAATGCATGTATACACTCCCCTACCTAGTATTTCTATGACAGCACAACCTGCCCGTAAGTATTCAGCCGCACCCTTCAGTTGTCAAGGAAAGTAATCTAAAACAGTAAACTTTACCCTGAGTCATTCTGAGGCAAGCACTTTTAAGCTTTTCATGCGAAACAAGTAAGCCACAACAGAAACACTGTTGTGAAATATACAAAATTATTTGGTCTACAAAAATGTATTAAAAATACCTACCTACTAGATCTGGGTAGATAATCAAATGTAAAGACACTAACATACTGTGGCAGAAATTAAATGTTGCTTTAAAATTCTATGTGAATCTTTAAAAGGCAAACTGACATTGATGAGGCACCACTATTGCACAGCTGTGGGTTTTTGTTTTGTTTTGTTTTGTTTTTTACTTCCCAATTATGTTGAGATGCTTGGATACTATATTGCTTGGACACAAAATAAGTACCTGGCTGTACAAAAGACTCCAACAGCAAAGTTAACAGCATACTTCTGAGGAAGTTAATATGTTACTCTTTTTCTCATTAAGTGATATCTCCAACTACCAAGAACAGGAAAATAAGTTATATAAATAAAATACTGTGTGGACAAGTCCAAACATATTGCCAAGCTAAAAAGTGGGTTTGTAAAATAAAAAAAATCAAAAAAAACCTTTAAATACCAAGTCCCAAAAGCACCCTGGACATATGGCAATCTAGCTAGGTTCTCATGTACCCAAATAAAAAATAGGTTTCTATTATTATCATAAATTCAGGCTCCATAGATACTGCATGCAATCTACCTTTCTGAAATGAAACTCCTAAAGAGGGTGTCAGTGACCCTCTATAAATAAATAAAAATGTATATCAGCCTAATATTAAGGCAACTTGAATAAAGAGTGGTTTATTATAACAAGGGAGGGAAGCAGCTCTCCTGGTTAACTCAGTTGGTAGACAAAAGGGCAAGTCAACAATATGAAAGTTGCTATGGTTTCAACAGGGAGGCCAAAGTAAAAGAGGAAACATAAAGAAGTAGAAAGGTAAGTTTCTCTGGAGTTGGAAAATAACCCGGACAAGCTAAACTGGGCACTCAGTGACATACAGCACTCCACACAAAACAATTCTTATTTAGTGGAAGAGAAATTAATCAGCCTCCAAACATCCATCTGACGACAGCAAATGCAATACAAACTTAAAGTGAAAAAAATGTATAACAAAACATTGCTACTTTTTATTATTAGATTTTTTTTGGCACAACTGCCTAAATCTTTCTAAATCAATATAAAATGGATCACTGTATCATGAAATCAAAGAATTGAAGGGGATTCTCCATGGTTCCTACAGTAGTCAAAAGCCTTATTTTTAATGCATTTATTCTCAGAGAAGTGCTATAGTTCCTAATTTACAGATAAGGAAAGGTCAGACAGGAGTTATGGGCCTAAATTGCACTTAGGCAGATTTTTAGGTACTTAAAGTCAAATGACAATCCACAACATCCCTGCCTAACCAGTCAGGCAATAACGGGATGTTATGGCACCTAAGTCACCTGTACACAGGTGTGGAGACTGCTTTGATACACTGCAATTACAGCACGTTGGAGCAAACTGAATTAATCGAGTCTGCTGGACTGTGGCAATTACTGCACTCCAGCAACCTCCCTCATCTCATGCATCAGCATTCCTGCGCTTCAAACTTGAATTAAAACCCATTGCATGAGCTTTAGTTCAAGCACCCCTGCCATTCTGAAGTGCAGGGATGCTGACACACAAGATGCTGCAGAGTTTTAATTAAAGCAGCTCTCAGAGCCACTCTAATTAAAACACCACTGTCTCCCCTACCCCCAGAGCATGTGTAAAAGTACCCTTAAGTTTTACTAAAAAACTGTATTTAGGCACTTCCTGGTTCAGACACTTTGCATGCTCAGAACTGTTGCTATTTTGGCTGAGCCAAAGGTTTAAGTGTCTAACCTTCCTAAGTCCATGTGGAACTCACAGAGTAGGTATCCCCGTGTGCTAGTCTACTCAAGGATCCCACCTGGTAGGCATGCATATGTAATACATATTAATAGCACTGAATTGAACATCCACAGCCACTTGTTCAAAAATACAAACAGAGGAGATAGAGGGGACACACATTTTGTATAAAAGCTTAGTGTGTAGACTATTCAGCCAGGAACAGGGAGAGCTGGGTTCAATTTCCGCCTCAGCCGGAGAGTCACAAACCTGAATCTCCTATCCCCCGGAGAGTTCACTGGTAACCAAGCTATGGGTTAGGTGAGACCAAGGACACTCTGCTACTGCTAATGCAAGATTTATGGGCAAGAGTAAGAAGGCTGACTTGTTAGCCCAGAAAAGAGGGCATTCTCCTGCAAGAGACAGAGCTTCCAAGCTTTGGGTTCCAGCCTCTGCTCCCAGGGCTCTTTTTGCATTAGTCACTGGATCAAATATGTAAGTGGTCTTGGTTTACAGAGTTATGCTCACTCTTGCCATCACACTTGCATTCCTTTCTATATAGTAGTCTAGCTTCAACAGGAGGGGTGTTCTGACAATCTCCTGGGAAGTGGGAGATCAGAGTGAGTCCTCAGTGCTGGGCTACAATTACACACTTTAATCTGGAGAATAGACAAGGCTTCAGACACTGCTTTCTTCATCAACTTCAAGGGTGACCTTAGCCATCCTACTCAGCCTCCTGCTGCCCAACTGCAGACTCCCAGGATTTCCTTCCTGGGGCCCAATGGCTATGTTGAGCATCAGAAACCTCCTAAGTGACCTGCCCAAGGCCACATACGAAAAGCCTGTGGCAGACCAGGGAATGGAACCCAGGTCTCTCAAGTACTAGCACCAATCTCCAAACCCGGGATGATGCCTTCGATTACTACTGACATGAAAAACACACATTAGAAGTTACCTATATATTTATTTTCTTCATTAGATAACCATACAAATAAATTGAACAGCAAGGTGCACTTAGTTTTTTTTAGGCTCACCATACAACTTCAGGTCAGAAGAAAACTGGAGCTTTTCACCAAGTGCATAGATTTATACTTTGTACCATCAGATTTGTATTTATATATAGAGATTTATATTTTTTGTCACAACCTCCAAATAATTAATACATCTTAGAAGTACTGACCTCTATTGGTGTGATGGCAGCAATAGCCAATTAAAAGTGGATAAATGTAGCATCTGGTACTTGAAGCGCAGTGGCCCAGGGTGATCCTCTGGTATATTTCGTTATGACTGGGCAATTGGAATATAAAACATCTTCAGTATTTTGTTGAACTTACACATCTATGATCTTCTCTATGCAGCCCTACCTCTGGCCAATTCCCAACCTAAACTACGAACTAGTGACAACCTTCATCCCAATCAACTCTCTCTGAAGAGAGATCACTGAGTCAGTTGCTAGTACTGGCAACAGGTATTGACCTCACAACTGGAATGTCTTCTCCTGAAATGACAGTTTTTAATAGGAAAATATATGCTTGGCATTTTGACTTGGTAGAGCAGACAGACCAAAGGAAAAATCACACACATTTTGTTATTTCATGGCTTCTGGTAACTACTGAAGAGAAAACAAGATCTCTATATAAATGTGAGCGCGTTCACAGTCTAGTGGCCCATCTTTTATGCACAAATCCCTAAAGTCTAGTCTACTCAGCTTTTTGTATCAATTCAGCTATTTGAAGTATGGATGAATTTAAAGAAAAATAAAATCAAACTAGTTAAGATCTGATAATTGCTCAGTGCAGCTACAGTTGCATATCAGTATAAGTCTCTAAGTGTATCCATCTTGGTGACAAGGTGTATAATCACTAACTATATCAATACAATTTAAATGGCATAATTTGCTTTAAACAAACCATTGCAGAGATGTTATTCTCCCTACCCTTCTCTCTCACCTCTACCCCAGAAGAATGACAGCTGAAGTGATGGACTTCTTTCCTCTCTGCTGCTGTGAATAAGGAAAGGGAATTTATGTTTCCCAGGTGTTTCCTAGGACTTCCTATTATACACAGAAGAGAACTTTGGCTCTACACTCATTGCAATCAGGCTACCTTAAATAAGCATTTTCAAGTAATCAGAAATAAGTTCACTTAAAAAATAAACATACAAAGATCTTTTTGCCTGTCTACAGCTTTCAAATGTAATTATCCTCAGCAAAATTGGCGGAGAACTTTGCATTTTCACTGACAGGCTCTCTCACATGCATACAGGCCTTTGGCTTCCTTTCTATTCCATCTAGGAAGAGCACAGACTAACTGCATATGCTTCCTCAGCCTGAAGGGTGTTTGTACCCAAAAGCTTGCAAAGAAGAATTTTTCCAACTATATGACTTGGTCTAAAAGATACCAGATTTACCCAAAGAACCACGCCTGCCTTATTTCTTGTACAGACATCAGAAACTAAACTCTGTGGCAAAGACTTGGTAATACCAAAATGTGGACAGGAGCTACCTAGTCTCTTCATCCAGTTTGGACTTTCTGACCAAAGTAAGAGGTCTAGCTCACAATGATAGATTGATGGCTCCAGCACTGATCTAGGACATGAATAACCCAGGCCCAAGTCCCTTATTTGAATCAGAATGGCCAGTAGCTCTTCCCATATCTCTCTCTCTCTCTCTTTTTTTTTTTTTTTTTTTTTAATCAGAAATTCCCTCCTGGACCTCAGAAACTTTACAACAAAAGGTCTCAAAACTGACAGAGAAGGCCTAATTTGGAGGATGGCTTTTAACTGGAGTCTCCCACATCCCTCAGGAGTACCTTAACCTCTAGCTACAGGAGATTACCCAGGAATAGACAAAATCTTTTTTCATTCTAAACTGGAATTGGGAAACTACAAAGAACTTTTCCCCCATAAAAGCCTAAGCTTTTTGTTTTCTGGCCATCCGTAGTTATGTTTGCATTCATCTGGGTGCAACGAAAAAAAAGTATCCAATAAAAGAAGTATGATAGGCAACTTTCTTAAAAAAAACATATTGAGAAAACTTAACACACTACTTTTTTTTTTTTAATTAAGCAAGAGAGAGTCACTTTAAAAAGTCTGAACTTTAGTAATTCAATATGAAAGGGAATTAACAAAATCAGAGGCTTTTGGCTTCTACACAATTTCTTTTTAAAAGCAAGTCCATGTATATCTAAAAGATGGATAGACTGTCAACAACTGAAATCTACAGCACACTTTCCATTTATCGAGAGGAAAAAGGTAGCTTTTTGTTTATTGTTTAAAGTGTGTGGAGGCTAGATTTGTTACTGCAATAGCGGACACATTCTCCTGAAAGAAACAAAACAAGCAAAGATGTTCAAGCTTTTTCTCCAAGAGCAAAAAGTCACCCAGAGAGAAAAATAACTCTGGAACAACCAGAGTTAAGTTGTTCCTGGGAGAGTTTATCTGGGGAAACTAAACATGTGCATGCTTTCCCAGGCTTAACTCCTCCTGGGGACCAGGAGCAGTGGAACTGGGGGGAAAGCTCCTGCGCCTTCCCATGACTGGGGTTACCAGGCAACGGAGGCAGCTGCTCCTGCCCATCCTGTAGACCAGGAAGGGAGGAGAGGAACAGCCACTAACTGATCCCCACCAGCTTCTCACTCTAGGACATTGCCAGTGAGAGAAGTGGGCAAGGGCTTTGTCCTATTAATCCCTCTGCTTGGCTCCTGGTGCCTGGTAGCAGAATATGGTGAACAGTTTGGGCTGCTAAGGTTACCATATTTCCAGAGCATATGGGTATCGTGTGTACTTTCTCTATTGTAAAGGAAGGACAACCCAAAAAATCAAAGATGCAGGAGTAGGATAGGAAATACAAGCTTTTAAGAACATTGAAGTCAGGAACCCAACACAATGCTCCTCAAAAGGAGATGTTTTGTACTCAGTAAGCAAGCAAGTAAATACATTTAAGTGTTGGTAAATAAACTAAAGCTTGTGGGCATGGTCCAGGGAGGAAAAAAAAAGAATCAGAATAGAATCCAAATTAATCCTATGGTCTTGTCAGGTCACTGCACTAAGGCCACTGAAGAGACGCACTGAATTTGAACTTGTATTTTATTTCTTCCTTTGCTACTTAAAATTTAAATAGCAGGTTTATCAGTCATTTTCTCTTTAGAGGTTTTTGCTAAGTACTTTACAAAGGTTAAACTTACTTTGCCAAGTCAGTCAAGTATAAAGTGGATGAAAATATGTCAAGTTGTTAGCCTCCCTAGGCAAAACGTTAAGAGTATAGGTTATACTACAGTTATTTTTTCCTTAGCCTCTAAAACCAAATAACAGTTTTCTTTAGTAATGCAGTGCAACCAGCGTACGAAAGCTGTACGAACTAATTTTTAGGGAAATAAACATCTTATTCCTTAAGATCTGACAAAACTTCTTCATAGGCGTCTGATGAAGTAAGGATGGTGGTTGCCTATGAAAACAAATGCTTCTCTGAACAAGTTAATCTCTCAGGTGCCACCCTGCCCTACCTTCTCATAAACACCTTGTAACACAAGAAAAGGGAGGTCAAAATTTGAGCCACCTGGATTTGACAACATCCTTTTTATTTTCTAGGGTAACAATAATAAGGCTTCAAAAACTGACTACGGCATCGGTCACATGCATGAAACAGCATACAACAATAAACTAACCTTGAACAAATAAAGCACAGTCTTTTCTAGTGTTGGACTTCTTTCCTGTTTCTTCCAAAAGAGTTTTGTGACTGAAGACATTAACTCTAACTCATCCTGACAAAATTTCCAAGGATCCAGTCTTAGTACTACCTCCTAGTAGTATTTGATTAAATGTTTCAGCTTATCCATTACATCAGAACAAAGTTTAACAAAGACACTTGAACAAAAATAATGATGTAAAATCCTTAGAAACAGTCAGAAAATTAGCTCAAAATATTTTTAAAATACTGCAGTTCATGTGAAATTACCTGGGGGGTGGGGAAGGTAATAAGCCTAGTAGTTATGTAACTACATATAACAGTTACAGGTAGAGCTTAATTGGGGGAAGTTTCCTTTTGTTCTATGGGAGATTTTACATGATCTTCTGCAACAATGGATAACTACTAGCATAAAAATCTCAGGCATGAAAAGAAGGATCACAACACTGGCACACTTAATGGATAAAGGTTTGTTACAGAACAGAAAAGTCATACAAAAATTGGTAAGTTACCTGTGCAACAAGTACATTAATAGCATTTTGGGACACAGCCTTCTCTTGCTGATCCCAACAAGCTCATATTAATAATGAAAGGAGCCATACATTTACAGCAGCAAGAAGAAAAATACCCTGTCAAGAATAAAAATCTAATAGCATGTGCTGAAAATCTTCTCCTATAATCTATTAACCTTCCAAATCCATAGTTTTGTTCATGATACACAGTCACATAAAACCAAAACAAAAGAAACTCCAAATTCCTAAACAAATAAGTGTCCTTTAATACGACAGGCTTCTCTACACAAATTCTTTTACAGTGTTTTCCCCACCGCAATATTGATACTTGACCACCTGAGGAGACATTTCAGATATCAGCACAATTAGAATGTAAGCTAAATCTCTCTGTCTGAAGAATTTTGCATTATCAACACTGTTTAAGTTATTACTGGAACATTTTTGTGCTGCGTATTCTCAATTCCACTAAAAAAGCCTGCTGTAATTTACAGTAAGCAAATCAATAATCTGAGGAAAGGACAACCAGCAATTTTCACAGTCTATATCACTTTATGTAATAATTCACCATTTTTATGGCACCAGGGTTTAAAGAGACTTGAAATAAAAGGAAACAGGTAGAAGGGACATAAAACCACTACGAAGCCTTACAGGGAATAAATGCTATCAGGTTTGCTAGCTGTGCAGGGCTTTGCTCATAAGAAAAATTACTCACGAGATGCATGTATCTATGACCTACCTTGCAGAAGGGCTCCATTCCTCTTGAAAAAGGTGCTTCCTGGCCAAATGGGTGGACCTGATGTGCTAAAGGTAATAAGAAATAAGTGTAAAGAAAATCTCATTTACATGTCATCTTTTACAGTAACTATTTTTTATTAAGTCCTCTCTGTTTCTAATATGGAAGAAATACTAATATAGTGTAAAACATGGCAAATTTTAACTTAAAAGCAAAACCTAGCACTCTCACCTTGGGACAGGATGATTTGATTTTAAGATTCAAATTCTGTTCACAAGAAAACAAACTACTCTTTAGCTCAAACCTACACTCAAAAGTTAAAAAAAAAAAAAAAAAAAAAGAGAGAAAAAAGCAGTGTGAAAAATCACTGTCACAAAAAATATTTATTGAATTCACAGTGTAGCAAAACATACATTTCAAAAGACATCTACTGGAAAACAAAAGCTTTTTACAGCCTTATTCAGTCATAACAACTCAGTCTCCCATTTTAAAAAGTATTAGGGGAAAAAAAGAAAAAGCAAAAAGGCTTAGCCAAGTACAAAAAAAAACTGTGCAGTATTTATATAGGAATATTACATCTGCAAAGAGTGCTATGAATTAAGTGATACATCTCACTGCATCAATAATCACATTAGTGAGAAAATAACTTGTTGAGCTGAACAGAAAGTTCAGCAGACTAGATAGCCACCAGAAAGTAACACAAATGTGTTTCATCATTCATTTTTATTACAGGTTTCCCTTTCTTTATGTGTTCCTAGAAAACAGTGCATAACTCGAATTCGCATAAAGAGAACCCACTTTACAATGTAACAAATAGGGATATGTTCCAAGACCTCGACCGTACCGACCCCCAGACCCACTTCTACTGCTTTTACAAGACAATTTTGGTACCCACCAACGGCAGACAGTACACACAAGCAAAGGGGACTTATGATGGGGATGGCAACTACGGAAACATGTTGCAGACAACAAGTAAGAAGCACAGATCCACGCAGGAGACTATTTTGGTGCACATCACTCCCACAATGCACCACACAAAGTAGCTGACTGCGGGCTTCCATCACACCAATAGCATAAGAGTGAATTAACCTCGCATATAATGAATTTTTGGTATAAAAAGGGTCATTGCATAAGAGCAAATTTGCACATACAGAACACGCCTGAAGCGAGGGAAACCTGTATTATTTGTTTTGAGGTGATCCTTAGGAACACCACTTGTGAATCAAGACACTATTGTGTTAGGTACTATGTCCACTGAAAGCAAAAATAAAGAAATCTGCTTCTAATGCATTAAAATCCAAGTTTAAGACAACAGGTAAATATAGACAAAAGGGAAAGCACAAGAAACCAGTGAGACTATATTAGTTAGCATAATAAACCATGTCCTGAACTTCAGGAAAGAGCAATTTGCAGGTAGGCCAATTCAGCCTTTCAAAGACAGAAAAAAGACATAAGCAGATTGTTGTGGAGGAGACATTCTGAAATAAACTATAAAAACAAACAGATGTAGGGTGAATGTTTAAAAAAAAAACCCTGTCACTGCGCTTTTTTTACAGCACAAAATATTCTTTTGTCAAAAAATCCCCTTCTCTCTCCACTGTTTTGTGATATGGTTTTGGCTGCTTAAAACACCTACAGGACACCCGTTTGTAGTGCTGCTAAAGGTAGGTGTAGCAATTGTAGGTACATGGGGAACCTTGACAATGAAAAACTAAATAAATATAAAATTTTATAATAAAGTATCTCTCAGTTATGTGATAGGTCTTAGGGAGAACACTTTAAAGCACAACCTTTAGGGGAAATATCTATCACTCTCTCTATCTCTCATTTGTTGCAGTATTCTAGAAGAAAGGAAAAAACCAAAGAAACGTGTTAGAGAACCACTCCTATAAAAATTGTTACATGGGCTGCAAGTAAGAACTCCAAAGCCAACTACCCCACCCAAAAGAGAACTATGTATTTTTTTTTTTATTTGCATGCAAACTTTTCTTGGAATGAGCAGAACTATATTAACTTAGTAGTATGCAAAGACTTCTCCTCTACACAAACAGCCCCTCCACCCCTCCCAGATAGTTTTTAGGAAAATTAATAGATAGCAGCTACTACACATAGCAGTTGCTCCTCCTTCATTTTGGGGATGCAAGATGTAAAGAAAACAATGCACACAATTTGTTTCTGGACTGAGGACCACTGCACAAAATTCAGACCCTATTACATTTACACCACTAGCAAAGTTCTGACACCAAAAACAAAAAAACCAAAAACACAGCACACTGCTTGTGACTCTTGTGCTAATGAATAAAAGCACCATTTTGACACACATTCAAATAGTGTTTGAATCCAGACATGCCAGGTGCAGGCGTGCCCCTGTGCAACAATGGCCTGGGGAACACCTATACGGAGCACAAAGTCATTTTATTGCAGGACAATTATTCTATTACCTACATTTTAGGCAAGGTAAATTGAAGGTTCGATCCTTCTTCTACATGGGTACCCACCACAGTGCAAACAGCAAAGACAATGAGTGCTAAAGTGAAGACAGTAGCAGCTTTTACTAACTGCTACTGCACGAGTGTGGAGATGCATGCATTTTAGGAGTAGGATTAAACCCTTTGAATTTAGTCACTCATTCTTACTAATGTAAAGACCTCATTATCAGTAGATCACCACATAGCAAAGAAAATACTCATCCACGTAATAATTTATCAAATGCTAATAATAGCCACGTGCAAAGTGAAGCTTAATACTCAACTGTATGGCACTTGTCTGTAATGCAATACTTCTTGAGACCACGTGAAATTGACTCAAATTTCAGGGAATCTTTGGCAATCCCTCACAGTTGAGGATAACTGCCTTATTTGTGGGTCCGAAGATGCCTAATGAGGCCAATCTGGGATCAACAGACCCTGCTGCAACTTGGGCATGTGTTTCTGTGCAGAGTGGGTAGGTAGCTCCGGATTTTTAATTTGGTTCACGACACTGGTTCTGCTGCTCCCACTCTTCTGTTTCCTGTTGTTGCCGTGAGGTTACTGTCACAACCCAAAGTTGTGGTTTTTTGTTTTTGTGTGCTTCGGCACCACTAAATTATGTTCCCGCTAAATTGCAGCTTTTTTGCACGGTAGAGTTTTCTGCTGCAATAGGAGAACCCGCGTGCAAAAGAGTATTTCCTGCCGTTTGTAGCCGCCTTTGCATGGTGCATTTCTTTTGCATCATAGTGATGCACGGTGCAAAGGAGTTCCCGCCATTTGTATTTAGATTCGTGCCACATTATTGGCCGGTTCTAAATGTAGGCATACGTGGCGGCTAGCTATTGGCTTGCTAGCCGTACAAAAGGCTTGGGTAGTTTCCGCCCAAGTCGGAGAGAGGGGAAACCTGGAGAGATACAGAACTTGCCAGGAGGAGGAGACTTCGCGCTGTGTGAAGATCTCCAAGCAATGTGGACTCTTGCGGACCCAACACACCTTTCTTAAGCAGGCAACAGAGGTCCGTTTAGCTTCTAGCCTCTCCCCGTCACCGAGAGCAATCCTAGACGTATCCCTATCCTATATACCCAATTTTCGAACCCACGGAGTCTTAACAGCTCCGGGGGACCTGGGAACTGAACAGAACCCACGGAGATTGCCTGGAAAGCTGTCCAGCCTACACCGCAACCACCTTGGGTGTAAGTAAATAATCTTTTCAATCAACCATTACGCCTCCGTAACTGATTCTAGCTTGCGCGTACCTTACTGCCCCGCGGTCTCCTCTGACCCCACGTGCCCGGGCTGCTGGCCACAGTCCGCGTGTGCAAAGACGGGCCCGGCTCGCACATGGCGAGGATGGGATCGGGAGCCGGCCCGCACAGTTACAAAGTACTGAGATCCTTTCAGCAGACTCTTCCTCCATTTGGGCCAGTCCTGGGCGATAGTCTTCCAGGAGTGATGTCGAAGTTGCATTTTTTCAAGTTGGCTTTGAGAATGTCCTTGAAGGGACATACTCTGCCCCTTGTTGAGCGTACACCTTGACAGAGCTGAGAGAACAAAACTTGCTGTGGGAGGCAGACATTTGGATGTGGCCAGTCCAGCAAAGTTGATGCTGGGTGATCATCACCTCGATGCTTGTGATGTTAGCTTGTGAGAGGACACTAATGTTGGTGCATCCATCTTCCCACTGGATTGCAAGGATCTTCCGGCAGGCAGTGGTGATGGTACTTTACCAACATCCAGAAGTGTCTCCTATATGTTGTTCGCGTCTCAGCTTCATACAGTAAGGTGGGGATGCTTCATAAACCATCAGATTTGATGTCATAATTTTCAAACACCCATTTTCTCAGGTGTCTGAAGGCTACACTTGCACACTTGAGGCGATGGTGGATTTCTTCTGTCACAACTCAAAGGTGTGATTTTGTTTTGTGTGTGCTTTGGCACCACTGAATTATGTTCCCGCTAAAATTGCAGCTTCTTTGCACGGTGGAGTTTTCTGCTGCAGAGGAAAACCCTGGTGCAAAAAGATTCCTGCCACCAGTAGCTTTCTTTGCAGGGTGCATTTCTTTGTTACAGCACAGAAATGCACATTGCAAAGAGTTCCCGCCATTCGTATTCAACTTCGAGCCCCATTATTGGCTTGCGTGAAATTATTCACACGTGGCGGCTAGCGATTGGCTTGTTAGCTGTATAAAAAACTTGAGTGGGTTCCGCCCAAGTTGGAGGACTCCACGAACACCAGGAGGAGGAGACTTCACGCTGTGTGAAGATCTCTAAGCGCTGCGGAGCCTATCGGACCCAGTGCATTTCAAGAAGGCAACAGGCAAGATCAGCCTCTAGCCTCTCCCCGTCACTGAGCGCAAACCCTGACGTATCCCTCTCCCTGCGCGCACAAGTTCCACGGAGCCTAGCAAACTTCGTGTGAGTCTATTCAGAGCTCTTTCGGTTCGAGTACTTTCTTCGGTTGGCACGACGGCTTCGCGGTTTAGAGCCTCCAACCAGATGGGCTAGAAGAATGTTCACGGGAAGGAACTCTAGTCCGCCTCTCTTCTTTTCTATCTGTAACTGCAACTCAAGCAAGTTTTCCTGCCTGCACCGCGACCATC